TTGACCTATTTTTTAACCTTGCATTTATCCATAAGTGTGATATCGTTTGGATATCATTTGCCAGACCATTGTGAGATTTTATTTTTCCTGAATAGGCCTTCGAGTTTCTGTAATTCCAGATGATCCATATGTAGACTAGCATTATAGCTGACTGGAGTTGAAGTGTGATGTTTGATGTCCCATTTTCCCAAAACAAGAGGTCTGTCACTGATGTCAGAGAGTCTGGGAGTGTGCGCCACCAGGTTTTGAGACTATTCCAGACCTCACCAGAGATTATGCAATTGAGAAAAAGATGTTCTTCAGTTTCTGTTTCTTGCTCGCATAGTATGCACATGGGGTTAGTTCCAATTCCTCTCTTCAAGAGGTTCGCCCTTGTTGGGATCCGACCGTGAGCCACTCTCCAGGCCAGTATATTGACCTTCTTAGGGACTAGATTGTTCCAATCCCAGACTACTGTCGATTTAGGCAATGACATTTCGTCAACCAAAGTCCGTAGGGAAGAGACCGAGTATATTCCTGATGGTTCCAACTTCCAGCTCCAATTTGATCGCTGATTAGACTGAGATTCTGTGAAGAGTTCTTTGAGGTCAATATTTTCTTTTGCAAGAATTGTTGGCAGGTTTACAATATTACCCCAGCAACAACTTTTTCACTTTGCTCTGGAGGGTGCATTAAAACCCCCATCTTGTCCATAGATTGAAATGATGACACTCTTCCATAGTTCCTGTTTGTGTTCTTTGAAACGCCACCACCACTTTACTAACAATGCGAGGTTATGGGCTTTGAGACTACCGATACTTAAACCTCCATTCTCTTGTTTCGATAGAACTTTTTCCCAGCCAATCCATGCTAATTTTGATTTCTCTGATGAGCCACCCCAGAAGAAGCGTCTTCTTATTTTTTCGAGATTATTAAGAACTTTAATTGGTGCCTTATATAATGAAAAGAGGAATGTACCGAGGCTACCCAACACCGCTTTGCATAATGTAAATCTGCCGCCAAAGGAGAGCGTAGAGGCTTTCCACTTTGATAAGATATCTTTAAAGTGTAAACAACACCAGATATATGAAAAGTTTGATATGGCAATTACTGGTCTATTAGTCTATACTCTACTCTCTACACTACACAATATTTGCTTTGCAAAAACCCCACCATTAGGCTACCAAACAAAGATCTCTTTTTAAACTAAAATTAAAAAACAATGGTTAGTTTATAGGGAAAATCCAAAAATTAATCATTCCCAACAATTTAGGTTCACCATTTGACTAAGGGTGTGTTTGTGATTGCTTCTCAAAGTGCTTATTGGCTTTTTGGAGAATCTAGCTTTTTTGAAAAAGCCATTTTTTTTTGCCTATAAATTCCCTATTTGCCAAACACTTTTTAACTTACTGACTTTTTGAAAAGCTAGCTAATAAATCATTTTGAAAAACACTCCCTAAGAAAACGAGCCCATGATTCTTTGATTCAAGTATATGAACCAATAGAAGCTTACATATTTAAAAGAAAAAATTACTTGTTCATCCTTTTTTTGGCTAGAAATTTAAAACTATTCATTTTGGAAATAAACCAAACTAAAACCAAATATTCAAAGGTTGTAACACAAATAATGTTTTATAGTTTATATTTTTTAAACTTAAGAGTTTTTTATAAGATAGTATAAATGTATATGTGTATATACATACGTAGTTATGTATTATATGTATGTACGTCATAGCGAAGGAATCTGATTGGAACAAACCAAAACCCAAATTTATTAAAAAATTGATTCTACACTAATTGGTAATGACAATACCCAACTAATACTTGTTTGACTAGAAAAAAGTCAAATTAGCTAAATCTTAGATAAAGGGAACACAAATGTGAAGAAAATAAAATCTATAATCTAAAATGTACTTGTATAGATGAATTCTCATCATATATAGAAGGATTGATTTTCTACAAACCTCAAAAAAATAAAAAATAAAAAACTCTGATTAGTTGATCTTCTGTTTCTTTTTCTTCTCTGGTTTTGGACGATGCGTGAGCAACCTAAATGTCCATGATGCCAATAGAGTCGCCTCAATTGGGGCAAACCAATAAACAATTATATGCTCCTTTCTTTTATGAACACCAAATGCATACGCCCATCCAACTACCTAAAAGATTTATTAAAGCTAATAACTGTCAATTTGTCAAGTTCAAGAAAAAGACTGAAGTTAATGGGACAAAAATTGAAGTTAAAGGATACTAATACTTACAGCAGCTGGATTCATGCATCCACCAGTCAAATCAGATCCGAGTATATGAAGAGAAAATTTTAAGATGCTACTAATCCATGTCTTCATATAGAAACTGCCATTAATGCTTCTGTCAAGACCAAGTGTGATGAGCACCTGTGAGAATGTCAATAATCCTTCTGTCAGTGCACCCTGATGGAGGTTGATCACCAGCGCTGGCCCACGCCATAGCTCGGGAAATGTCTCAATGATAAGCCTCACTCCAACAATCGATCCAGCCACCTGTCATTCATTCATAATCAAACATAAACCACCTTTAACTAACAAAAATCTAATCCCATTCCGAAAACAGGATCAATCTGAGTCGATACCAGGAAAACGGGATTGGCAGAACCCTAATTCATATCGCAAAAGATCAGAAGAAAATGATAAAAACTGTAACGGACCTGAAAGGGGATTCTTGCGATGTTGAAGAGAAAGGTGGTAAAAGTTCCATTGATGGCGGATGTAAAGACAACAATGGGATTGTACGCCCCGCCATCGGTGAGTTTAACCAGATGAGTAAACAAGAACATGTTGAGAATGGTGAGAACAGACCTAACGAATTCAGAAGCGTGACCGCTCAGCCCTAAAACAACGTGAGCAATTAATCTGATGATAATGCCTGACCAAACCCACATGAAAGACATTATCGTATCTGTGATCATCAGCTGCGCCATTCCCGCCATTTTTAAAAGTGGTTGGTTTCGATTTGACAACCCTCTTTTCTTTTCCCCAAAATGGGTTCAGTTTGACGAATTGTACGTAGTTTCAGTGAATTCTATCGATTACATTGAAAAAATGTGATATGAAGGCTCGTGGGTGTATGAGGAAAAGGGGAACGAAAAATGGCGAAATTGCATTCTTCAGAAGATTACTGCTACCACCGGAAAGTATCGTCGTTTTCCGTTTCTAAGATGAGGATTTGATCCCATTTCTACCATTACAATTGTAACCGCTGTATGAATTTACCTTTCAAGAACTTGTGGAAACAACCCTCAAAAATTCATTCATAATCTAAAAAAATATATTAAACATCTAGACAATTTATAAAAGGTTAAAATACATAACCATAATGATTGTTATCAATTAAAAATATACGGTAGATTGTTACATTATTATTTCATTTTCATATAATTTTACCATTTGATTTTGTATTTAATTTCTACAAAAGTTCAATAAAACACATTTAAACAAAAAAACTTTTGTATTACAAATTTTTTTTTCTTCATCGACGAATTCAATGGTCATTGAACTCGTGATATTTAACCGTGGTTAAATTCAATCCATTGAATATCAACTAAACATTTAACCTCCTTCATTTATTCTATTAAATTATGTTGTGTGATACTCTAAATATGACCAAAATGAGAAATTAAAGATTGTTTGGTGATGTTGCATCCCATTATGTTGTGTGATACTCTAAATATCATACATACGACTAATCGACCAAAATGAGGAATTCAAGATTGTTTGGTGATGTTGCACCCCATTTTAGTTGGTTTATTCTCTCATTGACCATATATGTTATTGAGATGTGTCAAAATTCTTGAAAAATTATATAACATTGGTGAATTAATTTAAAGTAGGAAAACATGTGGTTCCCTAATCAAATAAAGCCTATAAAAACGACGAAGTCAATAATACTTGTGGCATGTCAAATCGGGTTGAGTTTGACCCAGTAAGAACCGGCCTGTTTGTAAAAAAAAAAGTCTTAAAAACCAGCCTACTTGACCCCTAAAGACGAATTTTTGCAAAATTATAATTATTAATTATGTATGACTGTTTTACTTTTCTTTTAAAAAATTCTATTTGCAAATGTCATTTCCTACAACCAACAATGTAAGAGGAGTTGTATTGTTTTTTAAATTTCCTTATAACCCTTCATCATTATTTTTTATAAAATCAAACACCTACATATCTTTTTCTTTATCTCTTATGTGAGTTAAATTTTGATAAATATTAATCATTTACATTGCAATTTTAAGTATAAACCTTTCACCAAAAAAATTATTTATTTATTTTCTTCTTATTTTTTTCAGTAAGATATGTCTTAATTTTTTTTTTCAATATATGTCCTAAATTTTTTCTCACATAAATATTAAATAAAATTAAAAAATTAGATGGGACCCACCTTGCTAAATGCTAGCTTCGGCCATGATAACATACATTTTTATTTATAAAACTTATAAAAGTGTAAGTAGGTTGTTAAAAAAAATCGTGGGTTTAATTTATTAATTTAAAATTTATTTAAATTTAAATATCCTCCTACTTTTCCTCCTAATTATCTTCCTACCCACTTTAAATGATGACAAGTGTTTTAAAATATAATTAATTTTATCAAAATATGACACATGTCACCATTTCAAATGGGTAGGAAGATAAGTAGGAAGAAATGGTAGGAGGGTATTTAATTTCTCTTAAGTTTTTTGTGAGGGCATGAGTCTTTACAATATTGGCGTATGTCTACACTTTTATTAGTATCCTTGGGTATAAGATGCACGGGATATCATGGTTTTTACTGCATACCTTTTTTATAAAAGCAGAATCTGGATTTGTTTATTTTTAATTTTTATACTCACTTGATATAACTGTTATGAGTACCGATAGCATCACATGTAATGTTTGAATACTGATAGTGCCATGCATCTTGTTTTATTGGTAATGATTTCTTATATATGACAACCTGTTCATATATAGTGCTTGCTTCATATACAAGACATTCATCAAACAAACAACCTACTTGCTCTTCTAGTAAACCGTCAACGAGAGGAAAATATGTGGGATTTGAAACTCATTGATCTAGAAAAACGATCTATTTGAAAGACAAATATCACTACCTCAAACAACCACATATGCTCAAAATAAGCAAATAAACACGTATTATTCCTTGAAAATAACACGGTTCCGTGTGTCTACTGAAACCTTGTGTAGCTAACTACAATCAATCACTTTTGGTCCTGTGGTGAGTTTTTAGGTTCATGGTTGCCTTTTAAATCTTTATCAGCTGCTGCAGCTGAAGAACCACAAGTCTTTGGCAATGTTTTGTCATCCTTGGGTTCCCCATTGAGTTTTATTTTTGAGGTACGCATAGATCCACCAAATCTATGTGACATTGACGCATCCTCGTCCTCATCCTCCTCTTCAACTGTCACCCACTCTCTAAAATCAATAGCAGGTGGCAATCTAGAACCAAATATGTCCTTAAGGTTCTTTGTAAACCCTTCATTATATGGATTTTTCTTCTTCTCGTATCGGTACCGAAAATTTTCGTATGTTGTCTACAATATACGACCAAATAATAAATTATACTTTGATATGAGGAAAACAATTCTAAGTAAATTTACCGATTTGCCATTGCCATTGTTTATCTAACCTGGTTTGTGGAAATAAGAAAAATATGGAAAACACAGAGCCCACCAACAAACCAAGAGCATACGAAAGAGTATCCTACAAGTGCAACCGAAATAGCGTCTTTTGATAAACTATTCCACAAGCTTCCGTGTTGACGGATAACATCGATCAATGAAAACGTGAACACATAGACACACAACGCCGTTGATGTCATGATGAATACAATAAAAAATCGATAGTTGCGCTGCAAATCCATTTACCATGGTTACAACCAACACATGACATGACACACATGACATGACAGAACAAGGTTGCACTGTGTTTGGTCAATGAGACTGACATAATGGGACAAAATTAAAATTGTAAACTTTATACCATCCAAAAAGATGGAGTGGTCCATCGTATGTGAAAAAGATGTTAATGCCCTCCACATACTCATCATCATCGAAAATAACCCTAAAAATCTTATGACGCAGTCTTGTCCCATGTAACAAACACAGTCTAATTCTAACCGATAGACAAACAAATTTTTGTGGACTTACACCTCCGATACATTGGCCTACCCACGGGCAGTGGTGATCAAAACGTTGAACACAGTTATTGCAAACCGAGCAATGAGAGGCACGAGGCGGGCGATAGAGCATGCAAGTGTCACAATATTTAACTTTTATGGTGTGTCCATTAACAAGCATATCTTTGATTCTTGGTATCCTCATACTCATCACCGATCCATTCATCCATCTCAATGATTGTGACCGGAAATCGAACGACTCTTCACATTCCGGCGGTCGTTTGTTCCGGCGAACTATTCCGGGGTTACTTGCGGATGTCATGAAGAGAAAAATTAGATCCTGTGTATACAAGAAAGAAAGATAGTCAATTCATAAAATTTAAGGTCAACGTAAAAAAAAGAAGGTAACATACCAATAATGTGAGGATTATTCCTATTGATAATTCCACGAATCCAAAGTTGGTTTTGTCTTTTTTGATATTGAAAAACATTTTGATGCAGAAGGTGATCGCCGGAGCTCCGATAAGGATTGCAGATAAAATCACTGACCCACCATCCGCACCAAAAACCAATCTACCGCCACAACAGAATTTCTGCACAAGGTCAAAATGTTGACTTTTTTAAGACTTGTACAAAATCCATAATCCTCACACAAAAAGTAATGAGAACATGATGGTAACTATGAGGTTACATTTATCAAGTACCCAGGAGTGCTAATGAGGTCAATCTGATATTGAATAAATACCATGAAAACATTCTTTTATTGTTTATATTAATAGCAAAACTTTACCCTAAAATGTATTCATGTCCATTTTGACTTTTGAAAGCCAAACTTCTGAAATGTTGCAGGGAATATATAATTCCCATACCAAACAATATGCTCCTCAATATACATTTGTGTCTTCTTTGAAGTCAAAATTTTCACTTCTTTAGAGAATTGTAGAAAACCCATATTTCTCACAGAAAAAGTTATGAAAAGATAGCTATTAATTATTAGATCAATTTGAGATTTATCTACATCCATGTTTATTTTGAAGATGTTGCAGGTAATCAATAACTTTGAAGATATATAATAATTACAAGATCAATTTTTGTAATGAACAAAAACCCACATAAGCATTTTGTATTCTTTATGCCCCTTAGGAGTATGAAAGATTAAATGTTGCAAGGAATAGGATAATTATCATAGAAAACAAAGGAAATGTGATCATTACCAAAATTAATTTGAGATTTAAGCAATACCCACAAGATAATCATGAAATCGCATGATGATAGAATAGGATAATCAACTCACATTACGACCTTTCCAAACTTGATACAGCCTCTTGGTCTTGGGAGGAGGAAGGGAGTTCGGGGTATCGCTTCCGCTCATCATCATTAATTGTTGAAGATGGTTATCAACCCATTCAGATTCAGACTTGAATTCAAACCGGATAGAGGAAATTTGTTGTTTAAAGAAGAGGGGGAGATCGATAGGGGGAGTTTATGTTTTGTTACGGATGAACAAACCCTCCCTCTCTCTCCCTCTCTCTCTAAATCTCTGTGTATTAAACTATGATATGTTATGCTTTCTCTTTCAATATCTTCTCTGTTTTTACGATCAACAGCTGCGGCCCCTGCCCCGGCTCTCCTCCTCTCTCTGATTAGAATTGCTGAAACCCAAATCGTTTTGGTATCTCTCTTTCTCTCCATCTTGTCACCGATAGAATCGGAGGGTTCCAAAATCCCAAATAATTTGTGCTAAATTTTCGTGGGTATATGAGATGCATATCACATTTTCGGATAAAATAATCAAATGGGAATCCTTACTATTTTTCAATGCGACCATAAGATACCATGTCCATTTCCGTTTCACTGACCCTTTGATGATCCAAATTAATCAGGACCCATCTTGGTGGTGAAACGGCAACTCAACCTCTACAATTGGCACTCGCACCATGCCTCTGCAGAGTCTCAAGAGAATCTTACGCATATGGAGTTTGTGGTAATATTTAATGTTAACATGGACTTTGTCATCTCTCATTCAACAAAAAATTTTAAAGTATTAAATTAAATAACGACAAATTATGAAAGAACTGAACAGTGAACACGGGTTATGGCGAGGGAAAATAATGTATGTAAAGTTACCCGCGGGAATGTCGCTACAAAAATTGGAACATTCGCCATACCAGCTTTGTTGGCCGAGTAAGGACAAATGACAGTGAAGAAGGTTTGAAGGTATAAGCTGTATATGTGATGTTGTTGCCACCTATTTTCTGGGTAAATCCGTCCAAATTCAAATCCTAATTCCTGGCTTTTCGTCTCCTTTCGTTCGTTGCGATTCTTTTTCATCATTCTCATGGGTTTTGAGTTGATCAGAACAAAATCAATCAGTTTCCAAAACTCTAAATCCAAATTCTTAGTCTAAAAAGCTGATGGCAGAAGAGAAGAAGAACCCAAAAAGACAATATCAGCTCTGGAAAGGAAGCAATGTAAGTTCTTCTCACGTTTCCTATAGTTAATTGGAATTAGGGTTCGATTAATTACTTGGTTTGCTTGTTTCTTATGTCAATCCTAGCATTACTTCTTTGTTGGTAAAGGATCATCGCTATTTGCACTGAAATATTGTCAGAAACTTTTAACTTCAAATATAAGAGTCCGATACAACCAAAGAATTCACTGCAGCAAATGATCATATAAGTCTTTCATTTCTTTTTATAATGAATTGTTGGGAACATATTTCATTACAATCTGATGTTTCAGAAATTTTTATGTGGAGGAAGATTGATCTTCGGTCCAGATGTTGCTTCTTTGTGTTTCTCCGTGCTCCTAGTTGCAGGCCCTGCTGTATCATTCTGTATTAAAGTCTACACCATCATCAACCACAATAAACAACACCACAATGATCCTGGTTATTATTGGTATGGAGTGTTGATTCTAGCAGCAGCCCTCACTTGTTTAGTAAGTAAACCAATCTTCATGGTTTCCATGGTTATAACTACCTTCTTCTCAGATTCTTCAAACAACATTTACCTTATTTATTACACAACACACAGGATATAACATTTCTTTTGATGACATCCGGAAGAGACCCTGGTATAGTCCCACGAAACACATCACCACCTGACACAGATGAAGGATTTGACATGAACACCCCTTCAATGGAGTGGATCAATGGAAGAACACCTCACTTGAGATTACCTAGAACCAGAGATGTCCTTGTGAATGGTCACACAGTCAAAGTCAAATACTGTGATACTTGTATGCTCTATCGTCCTCCAAGAGCTTCACATTGCTCTGTCTGCAACAACTGTGTTCAAAGATTTGATCATCACTGTCCATGGGTTGGTCAATGCATTGGACTAGTAAGTCAACATTTATTTATAAGATTTAATGCTTGAATTAAAATTAACAGTTTTCTTTCTTCATCTATTTGCAGCGTAACTATCGGTTCTTTTACATGTTTATCTCAACATCAACCATCTTGTGCCTATATGTGTTCATATTTTCATGGGTCAACATAGCTCAACAAGGAGACCACATATTGAAGGCTATGTCACAGGACATTTTATCAGATTTTCTCATAGTTTACTGCTTCATTGCAGTTTGGTTTGTGGGGGGGCTTACAATCTTCCACTTCTATCTTATTTGCTCAAACCAGGTAATATCATCCTCTTCATAATCTTTATAATGTAAATGTCATAGTCATATAAAGTTGATTACAATTTATGTTAATGCAGACAACATATGAAAACTTCAGATACCGATATGATAAGAAGGATAATCCATATCACAAAGGTGTAAAACAGAATCTTGTACAAGTCTTTCTTTCACCAATTCCTCCTTCTCTTATTGATTTCCGGGGATATATTCAAGAAGATGACAGTATAGTGATGGATCCTACAAGTCCAAATCTTGGAGGTACTTCAAAGGAAAAAATTGACATTGAAATGGGAAGTAGTTTTGCAGAAGCAAGTGGTATTTCGCTTCCTGAAATTCTACAGCATTTGCATTATGAGGAGTTAGAAGAGAGCATGAGAAGTAAGGAGGGGAATGGAATAGCGGATTCCCTTCCATCTCCCTTCCTTTTTGAGGCAAATGATGTGGTTGTAGAAAGAAGGAAGTCTCGTATTGAAATAGAGGAGAAGTGTGATGATGGAATTATTACTCCTCAAACTCACATTGGTCATCAAGTATAGAGGCAACAAATATCCTGTTTCTTCATCAATATATAAATTGATACTAAGAAACTAAAACTCCTGAAACTTTTACACTGTTTTCATACATCTTGCAGGTTTGACATTCAAACTATTTTTTGGCATCATTGATCTATTATGTTTTTTGCGTTTGAAATGGCAATGTCATCCTTCCCAACATAAGTGCAGAATCCTGCCAATTTATATGTTGAATTCAATCTTGTTGTAAATTCTGGATGTAATCAAGAACTCCCACAACAAATGAAGAACATGATTCTTGTTAGTGAAATAATCAAGAACTGGTTTAGTAGTTTGATTTTCAATTCCTTTTATTTTTGTTGTCAACTTTCTCAATGTTGTAGAACTCGTTAGGTGTTATTCAGTCGGTCTTTCAAAATTACAATGGTGTGGCCTAATTTATTATTTGGGCCTTTTTCCTAATATATGTAAATAAGGTTGGGCTTGATATATTAAAAACCTAGGGCATATTCCTCCTTATTTATGGTTTCGGCCTTTGTCCCATTCTGTAACACAACAGCAAACCCATTCTGAGTTTTTGTTTAATCTTTGTATAGCTAGGTGTTCTTTAACACCATTTTCATTCTAAACCACATTATAACTTGTCTAACATAATTCGTATGGTTTATTTGCATATAAAATATAATTTTAAACAACATTTATCAATTTCTTTCCGATTTACGTTATCTTCCTAAATTGTAACCTTTCCACATCTTTGAGGTATATCCATATTCGCCTTTATGTTCTTGAAACACCAAGTTGCAAAGGTTCTCATGACACTTACATATGGTTTACAAGTGATTTGCTCGCACACTTTTCACCTGACAAACTCTTTGATGCCTTGGATGGGATTCATAAATTACTAAACTTCCATTTTGTCCCATTTCATTTCATAACAACAATGTAGTGTGTATCGTTTACTATTTTTTTCCTAAACACTTTCTTCTCATCATTTCTTCTCTAAGATATATTATAACTTGTTCAAACATTGTTTCAGATCAAATTTGACATTTAGAAAGGTAGGAGTGGTTCCCTTCCAGGGACGGTTCTAAGGGGTTCCCGGTGTGGCACCGACAACCCCTAACTTTTCTGGCCGCAGTGGAAAAATTTTCGATTTTTCAATTTTTTTACTTATTTTTCATGTATCGGCAACACCTATTCATCCCGGCTACACCTGCTATGTATTTCTGCATCCGTCCCTGTTCCCTTCCAACCCATTGTCATATCAGCTCTACATCGGTTTTTCTCTCTCATTTTTCTTTCATCTTTCCCAACCTACAACACATTGAAATAACATATTTCATGATCTAGAGATGAAATGTAGTCATGTTCAATAAAACAACAAAGATCGGACCAAAGCTGGTGATGGATTTCTGCATTTCGCAATTCGTGTAGTATTTCTGGGTCAACCACTTATTTGGGGGATCAGGCTGATGAACAGAAGATATTGCAACACCCTCATCTTGCAGTATCATATTTTGTAGTATAATCCATGTGTACATTATATCTCGTGTTTTATTCGCCGACATAAACCGCGCCGAAAATTTTAATATGTCCCAACATCCTTTAAGGACCCCAAAAGCACGACGTCCTACGTCCTTTCTTGCCGACTCTTGTGTGGCCTTGAACTATATCTTTTTATCGGTTATTAGATGTGGATATGACTTCACAAATATATATACAACAGTGGATATATTCCATCTGCATAATAGTATCTATGCTTGTAGTGTTCGTCATTAACATAAAAGAAACACTCGGGTGTTGTTCCATGATATTTTTCGTCAAACAATGGTGATGCGTAGAGGACGTTTAAATCATTGTCCGAACCTGCTATACCATAATATGCATGCCAAAACCATAAATCTTGTGATTTTACTGCTTCTAGTATCATTGTTGGATACTCATGATCACCCCTCATGTATTGACCTCTCAATTCAGTTGGACAATTCATCCAGTTCCAATGTGTGTAGTCAATGCCACCTAACATTGCAGGGAATCCATGTCTGTTTTCGTGTGCTTCATACAAGAGTTGAATGTCAGTGGATGTTGGGCGACGAAGATATTCAGACTTATACAGTTTGACAACACCATAACAGAAGTTTTGAAGATTTTCACGTGAAATCCTTTCTCACATATTCAGATACTCGTCTAGCGAGTTTGGGTTATGGGTGTACACTATTTGACTTACTGTTGAAGTGTATTTTTGAAGCGCACTAAAACTTCGCCCACCACTTGCGTTCTATGATGTTTAAAAACAAGGATACGTATTTTCTAGGTTACCACGAATACACATAAACAAACGTTTGCTCATACGTAACCTTTTACGAAATTACTGGTTCGCAAAAATTGGATCACCAACAAAATAATTTCAGATTAGTAGTTTTTCGACCTTTATTGATTAACCTTCTCGTATTAATATTACTTGAACCAACATTATTTTGAAACAAAAGTTGTGCAGAACAAGATAATGCAACAAACAAATTAGTGTTGTTAGTTTTATCATCGGATGAAGATGAATCGTCTGCACAATTTTCCATTACTATTTTACGAATAATTGAATTCATTTTGTTGAAAAGCTGGAGAAAACGAATGGAATTGGAGAAGGTTGGAATAGAATTGAGAGAAAATAAAATGAAATTGGGATAGAATGGAGTGGAAATAAAATGGGATGTGATGGTTTTATATATAAGTTAAAAAATATTTAATTTCTTTGACCGTTGACCAGTCAAAGTCAAAGGTGGAAGAAAAATCAAACAAGAATTAATCGCCGGCTCTCCTACCTGCCTCAGAAAGAATCAGAGGTCCCATTTTTTGCTCGGTATAATCCTCCGACAGTATCGACGATACCGTCAGCCCAAAATCGTTCTTCCCGATCCACTCTGACCTCTCTTAGAGCTTGGATCAGTATCGAATGTCCACAAGAATTACACTTGCCTTTAATGATGTTACAATATGTGTATTCTAACTTTTATTTATCCATACCAATATTTATTTATTCATTCTAAACTTTATTCATATATGCTAATATTTATTTATGTATACCTAATATTGGTAACTTTTATGTTTATTTTTTTAAGGACTAACACACACCCTCTAATCATACTTATAATTTTACACTTTATGTTTTTTTTCATAGTTTTTTTGTATAAGAAAATATATACAGGTACGTAATGACTATAAAAAGTAAAAACAATCATATATATTACTATCAATGAAATGTATCAAGTTAAAGATGATTAATCAATTTTTATTCTCTATAAAATGTATCAAGTTAAATATGATTAATCAATTTTTTATAATTTTCATGACCGTAATCCTTATAGTATATTTCATTATAATCATCGGCCTACATTTTATCTTTACTTGAAAGGGTGAAAGAAATATTTCGTCATTTTGGGGTTCGTCTCCCTATATTTTTAGAGTCAATAGATTACTGAAGATGACTGAGTGGAAAACATATCTCGGATGTGATGTTCACTTTTCGTAGTGTCAAGTGTATATCGTAATGAAATAATGATATGGATTGTTGTATTTTTTGTATGTTTTTAGAGTATAAAAGTAGCGGTGGTCAGTTGGAAACAAAAAATGTCAAGGCTATTTATATTATTTATCATATATATGTGTATGATACCAACTGTTTAAGTATCTCATTATGTATATACATTGCATCTTAATAAAACCAAATTTACAGCTAAATAAATTGCATCTTAACATTATAAAACCAAATATATGATACATTAGTTACCAAATAACTAAATAACGAAAAAAGAAACTAAAGTTAATATCTTTCTAACTAATTTTATTTTTATAATTCTTATAACTGATAAGAATATAATATTTTTTGCCATCAATAAATCCATTATTGTTTCAAGATGATGAAACTCTTTGTGAAGTCGAGATTGAAAACAACAATACGGGTATCCATTTTTCTACTAGTTTAATCTATTATTTAATTCCGACAATTCATTTCTTCTTCATTGTTACTTCTTCTAATGTCTTTGTGCATAATAATTCCTTACAATCTTCCACATCCCTCTTGTTGACTCATTAACAACTCTTTGTAGCAAACATCATATAATTTGTGGAAATTCTCCACTGTAATAAAGGTCCCCATGATCCGAGACAGACATAGAGAAATGAGTTGTCGAACAATAGTTATCATTGTCTTCACAATTATAATCTCATTTTTTTTATACCGAAGAACTTGCAACTCAGTTTACCTTTGTGTATAGGGTACCTATAAAACTTTACTTGTTGTATGCTAAAAAACGAACTTTTGAAAGCTTTTAAGACATTTTTGCTTTAAACTTTTAGGAAAAAAATTAAAATAAAAAAAAATCGATAATACAAACAATACTTTTATTTTAATCAAAAACTCATAATTCAAAAGTTACATCAAATAGATTTTGAGAGTTTTTACCTTTGATATTTTAAATCATTTCACATCATTCAAATCTTGCAACATTTTTTTCGAACACTTTGATACAAATAAAAGATACAATTTCCACCTACTAGCTATTTTTACAAACATACCTCTCATTTTATAAACCGAAAAACCTACTAATGAGGTTCTGAGACTGGGAGAGCGATACAAGCGGTGTGCCGGTAGCCGAAACCATGGAATGTTGCACCCTTTTGTAAATCGTAAAGTATTTCCAAACTAATAGAATCCTTGTACTACTAAACATTTTCAACCTATTTTGAAACTTAGACCATTTTTTTTTAAATTGGTGATCATTTAAGATATTGTTTAAAGGGTGGCAAAACTTTATAGTGATTGTTGTCATTATCCGATATTAAAATTTTGACTTTTTATTTTAATGATTATGAACATGTAACATCAATTTGTAAAGGCTAAACTAAAGTTTTATCATAAGAAATACCGTAGGTTTATATACAGTGACACAAAATTACAAACTACAAAATGGCGATGAAGACAGTAGTGGAAAAAAGAGTTTTCGATGTGATAAAATTTCCAAACTCTAACATTTGTTTGTCCCATTTATTTTATGCAGATGATGCATTATTTATTGGAGAATGGTCGAAGCGCAATATTGCTAATTTGGCTCGGATCTTAAGATGTTTTCATATCTCGTCGGGGTTAAAGGTGAGCTTCAGGAAGTCGAAGGTGTATGGGGTAGGAGCATCTCATATGGAATTATTAAATTTGTCTGCTCCTCTTGGGTGTGAACCATCATCCATCCCGTTCACTTATCTTGGTATTCCGGTGGGTGAGAACATGAATTTGAAAAATGCATGGAGGTCGATTATTGATAAAATTCATGCAAAGCTTTCGTCTTGGAAAGCGAAATCACTGAGTTTTGGTGGTAGAGTAACTCTTGCAAAGGCGGTGCTTGGTAATCTCCCTACTTTTTTTATGTCCATCTTTG